TTCAACTTATGTTACTTTTTTGGTTCTACTGACCCATGGAAGAAGGAATTTGCTATTTACTATTTATAGGGGAAACACAATGACCATAGCAGTATAAATGTTTATCTTCAGACCATACTGAAGCTGAAGTACTTTGTATGCTTCCTGTGGGAACTTACAAACTCTGACAGATCAAATCAGTATGGGTGCTGCACTATCTGTCAGGGAATGCAGTTTCTGATGATACAAATTTTTGCAACATGTCAGAACAGAATTGCTATTCCATTCACAAAATTCCAGATTATGAACAAAACAGACTTCTTTAATTAAATTGATTATGTATTTAATTTTTGTGCGTAAATGCTTTGCTAATCAACAGCAACGATAGGCTGTGATGGATCATTTGGCTTTTTTGCATCCACTAGTGGTAAAACATTGTTAGTGCAGGAGCTGTTCAACCAGAGAAGCGCTGACAGACACAACCACTCTGAGGCTGCTTTCTTCAGCCAAAAGCTCAGTACTCACCTTAGGTATGTGTGTTAAGGTTTCAAGTCTTTGTTAGAATAAAACATTGCTTTTACTGTCAAAACCATGAAGTTTGTGTTCTGGTCAAGAAAAATAAAAAGAAAAAGTGTTGGCCAAACTGGTGCGAAGCTGTTGCTTTAACAGTAAAAGTTCATGACTAATGCTTACATTCACTAACTTCCACCATGACTAACAACAACTTCCCCCCTGAACTGAAGATGAATGAGCACATGGGAGTGCAGTGCCGAATCCTGCAAAAACAAACCCTCTCTCGCGTGTTCAAGGCCCGAGCCACCCGTAGCACTGAGCCACTGAGCACTTGCTTTCTGGAGATTTTTGAACATGCAGTATCACTTTCCTCAGGCTGAGCCTACCAGAATTGGTCTGACAGCGTTTTGCCAACAGAAGGTTGCCTGTGTTGGACAGCATGTCATAATCTCAATTTTGGTTAAAGACAAGACCTCAACATGTTCTGCCCATGTGTTTTTCTGTTGTATTTATGTACAGAAGCTGATTTTTTCAGTTTTTGTATTTTCTGTATTTAACAATTTAAACATGCATGTTTTCATCTGTCAGTCCAACATGCATCACATGAATCAACACATGTAGTTGCATTGTGTTACGACGTGAAATAACATGAAGGAACATTTCATACTTAGGCTAATATTTGAATACTGTATTGACTTACCACCTGTGCCTCAAATGCAGAGCTAATCTGAGGGCGTGGGTGTGTGAGCTTCACAGCTGACATTAAACATGTATGTAGCTTGTCAGCTTGAGAGCACAGGCTTAGCAGCAGCCAGTGGAAGACTGAAAGGAGAGCCTTCACCTTCCCTGTTCACTGTTAAGTGTTAAATTGTTAATTGTTTGAATGTTTTAGGATCTTGTCTTTCATTTTTCAACCTTGTCAAAACTTCCCTCATGCCTATCAGTTTCATCTGAACAGGTTAACTGTCAATTTGTGATTGTCTTTGTATCTTGTGAACCGGCACCCTTTGAACAGTTTGAGTGGCCCATTTGCCTGATTAATGGTAGTTAAATACAGGTGTTTTTTTGCCTCAGTTTGTCGTATGCTCAGCCTGGTTCTTTTAACCTTCCCAGAGGTCCATTTTTAGATGTTTTCTTCTTCACAAGAAACAGAGCTGATCACTGTAGCCTACTGATATCAAAGATGTCTACATGCAGGTTCACTCTGTGGAGTTTTTCAGGTGATCTCCCATAGTGCTTTGCACCAGCATCTGGTTCAGTCACAGTGCTCCAGATAACGTTGGCATTGAGAGAATATTGGCATACCTTTTTTAATATATGGGGCAGATTGGTAAATTCAGTGTTTTTTTTTTTTTAAACAGTGTCTTTGCCATTGTAGAAGCGATAACTGTTCTGGTTTGCTGTTTCATTATGAACATAATTTAAGGGGTGTCATCTAAAACAGAACACTCACAGTCTGCACAGTCCAGTATGAACCGGAACCTTCTAGATGGAGGACAGAAGGAACGCAGAAGCTGCATATCTGGCTATAACAGAATGTATGGGATAACACAGCTGTTCAGGGTTCATAGCTAACATGGTGTTGGATGAATACTGAAAACATGTTTCATCATTGACCTTTTGTGCTTCAATGAAATCTTAGTGGTAATGTCTATCCTTTTCACCTCCCATGCAGGCAATTACAAAAAGCTCCTCAACATTGCTTCTCAAAAGGCTTCCTGGTCTGAAAAATAAAACTGCAGCTGAGCAATTTCATAGAATGATCATGCTGTGTAGCATTCAGGAGTGAACAAGACCTTGGGACTTTATTTCAACAGTTGTTCATCTATAATTTTAACACTTAAAAACATCATAGTTGTTGAAGTAAATTCTCTCCTGACAGACGTTTAGCATATGCTTCAGATCACAAATGCAGGAGGATTGTGGAAGACGTGTTTTCTTAATTGAGTCACAGTGTTACATTGTATAATGCTTTTGAAAATATTAAGATAAATGTATCACACACTCCGGTGAGAGTGAGAAATAAAAATCCGCTTTGGCCTTGCAGCCACGTTTCATCCACTTTCATTTTAACAGTAATGATCACGGTCTTCCATAGTCCACCTGGAAAGCGCTCCTTTGATACTACCAATCGGTGAAACAGACCGTAGCCGCGGGGATGAAACTGGGTGACGTTGCACGTAATGGTTAGATCGCCTTAATTTAAATGAGAAAGAAGAAATACATTGCACAGACACTCCTAATTTCTGCTGTCCCACCAACATTGCCTGCCATTGCGGCCTTACGCTCGTTTGACAAGAATAAAGCCGATCAGGGACCGTTTATTACAGGGGAGACAAGGCACTTTTATTTACTTCCTTTTTTGGATAAGAAGTTCCGGTAAGTGCTTTCATCTTGGGCAAGTACAGAATTTTTCAATTCAGGAACGAGGCTGACATCTTTCTTTATCGCTGAAGAATCTTCGATCCAATCTTCTCGAGACAGAGAGGAAATGGCGTAAGAGGGGCCGCTTCAAGACTGCCCAATAAAAATAGAACAGTTTTAGATTGGCAGCATACTTCTCCAATAGAAGACCGTAGTGTGGCGGGCCATCCTTCTTTGTGTGACTCGTTGACGCCACACTAACTTCACGAACTGCGGGAAAGAAGTGCGAGGGGACCGTCGTCTTTCGTTTGAAGCTTTTAGAGTTCAAAGAGCACGGCCTGTTGTACCTACATTTTGAAACTTTTAAATTTGGTTTCGAAAGAATACATTTCTTTCTTTCTGAAATGGCAACGGGAGCTAACGCGACCCCGCTGGGGAAGCTGCACCCGAGTATCGGCGCCAAGCGAGGCTTCGAAGCCGGGCCTGGCGCTGGGCTGATGGCTTCGCCCGGCCTTCCGGTGCCTTTCCCACCGCCGAACTTCCAGCCACCGCCGCCCCCGGCTCCTTTCTCCCAGTCATCGCACCAGTTTTCCTCGGCGGTGTCCGGGTTCTCTCAGCAACAGACGCAGCAGTCGCAGCAAGGAGTCGGGATGCAGTCTCCGTCAGGTGGGGGTAAGTAGCTCGCTAAGCATGCTAAGCTAACCATCTGGCTACGCAACAGCAAGGATAGGCCGGCTAGCTAACGTTGATAGGGCCCGTGACGCCACTGTTACAGTTCAGCGCTAGTCAACTTGTCAGTATTCACGCACAAATCGGCGAGATGAGTACGCTTTTCGCACAGGAATTAGTTTGTCTCCGTTAGCTAGTTAACCTGGTGAGTTTAAATCATTGTATTTGCATGGGCTAGGTAGCCGTTTACCTTAGATTCTAGCTACCCGGCATATTGCTGCTGTTAGCAAGCGTCTTCGTTAACTTGCAACAGTACATTACATTGCCATCTAGCACAGCGTTTCCCAAATCTCTCCTGGAGTTCAGTTTGTTATTAAGCAGCCTCAGGAGTTTATACCGAGTTGATCATTTGAATCAACTGTGTTGAAGCAGGGAGAGATCGAAAACATGCAGGACAAGGCGTACTCCAGGAGAGGTTTGGGAAACGCTGATCTAGCAGATTCTGTTATCCAGAACACCTTGCACAGGTTAGTTTTTGTAAATGGTATCCATGCATACGGTTGGGTATTTAGTGAGGCAGTTGTAGGTTAAGTACCTTCCCCAGGGTACAGCTGCAGTGCCCCTGCATGGGTCGAACCAGCAACTTTTCGGTTACGTAGTTTGCGTACGCTGCGAATGGCCGTGTATGGAGTTTACCTATTAATGGGCCTTGAGATTTATTATGTTGGTTTCCGTTGAAATACGGTTAATTAACGAGGTTTAACAGAACTCCTGATTGAATATCTTAAGTGTAATTGACATCATGTGACCGTTGGTTTACGTGTTGTAAGCGTTAGTCTGCGTTGACATGTTAGATCTACAAAGTCTAGCAAGGTGAGGTGCGTTTTATTCCAGTGGAATAAAATGTACCTCGGAATGGAATTTGTGGGCTGGAATATGATTTCATCGTGACTGTGATCATGACAGTTTCTGCATTGCTTGTATTTGTAATATACCTTAACTCAATAGTCTGTTGCATGTGTTACACAGGTGGGTTATTTTCGCACATCAGCAAAACGCGTTTTTAATGGAGATGCTATGATGTTTTTTTGATCTAGCATGGATTTACGCATGCTTAGTCTGTATTGAATGGATAAAAAAACGCTTTCCTCTGAATGAATTCATCAGGTGCAGGTTTTAATAGCTGTGCCTTGTGCTCATATGTTGTCACAGTTCCCAGAGCACAGTTATTACCAGCGTTCATGTTAGACAGAATAGCATTTACATTTATTTATTTGGCAGACGCTTTTATCCAAAGCGACTTACATAGGTTACAGTTCTTTTACAATGTTACCCATTTATACAGCTGGATATTTTACTGAGGCAATTGTGGGTTAAGTACCTTGCCCAAGGGTACAAGCAGCAGTGTCCTAGCAGGGATCGAACCGGCAACCTTTCGGTTTCAATTCCTGCTCCTTAACCACTGTGCTACACTGCTGCCCATAGCATAGTGGTTAAGGAGCAGGACTCGTGACCGAAAGGTTTTTGGTTCGATTCCCGTTGGGCAATTGCCTCACTAAATATCCAACTGTATAAATGGATAAAATTGTAAAAAAACTGTAACTGATGTAAATCGCACTGGTTAAGAGTGTCTGCTAAATGCCAATAATGTAATGTAGATATTAGACAGTGAGACTGTCTGTATTGGCGAGGTGAAGGATGCTAATAGCTGAAAAGTTTCCGTCTCTGCTCTCTGTCAGATTCTGGATCAAAGAAACCTCGGAAGAGGAGCCGCTGGAGCAGCGAGACTCCCGACCAGAAGACTGTGATCCCGGGAATGCCCACCATCATTCCCCCCGGCCTTACTCGCGAGCAGGAGAGAGCTTACATAGGTAACTACCCCCCGTCCTCCTCCTGTCTCAGATAAACGCACCTCTCTGAGCTCTTAGACATGGTGAAGATGACCCGTACATCTTGCCATAGACTCTGTTTATTCCTCTGTTCTGCTGTGATTGAGAGGTTCTCTGATCTTGACTTCTTCCACGCTGCACCACATTGGGAGATGCTGCTCGTTTGGGCTGAATGTCATCAGTAAGTGCTTAATGTGGCTCACTGGTATTGCTGGGTATTTGTTTGTTTTGCAACTTCAGAATTGACAACAGTCACCTGTATTATCTAAAGTAAGTGGCTGTCTTCATTGTCAGTAATTATGAGATAATCCAATGGTCTTGCTTTTCAGAGAAGGAGTTAGTCAGGGGATGGTTTGGTCTCCAGTCCTTTAGAACCAGGTTTGGAGCCCACTGTTCTTACAATGATTAGAATCGCTTATGGTGCAGTGTAGCATGGATATCCACTGTTAATATCCCCAGCGGACCCCTTTGCATTCCTGTCTTATGCCTTAGTGCGGGTTCTGTAAACCACATTAAGATGGACTTGGTGCTGGGAGCAGGTGGCATGTTTCTGACCTCGTTAGAGCCCATTTAACCTGAAATCGTGTGCATTTGGAAAGTAAAAAAGCGCTTACTGATGACATTTAGCTCAGTGATTCTAACCCACTGTCGAGTAATACTAATTCGTTGGAACATGATGTGAAATGATTTGTTTTGCTGAAGGAGTTTGCCGAAAGCGATGTGTTCAGCAGTAGGATCTGGAGTTCTGGCTTTTACTGCCTGCCACAGGCCATCCACAAGGAAAAAAAATGAATAAACCAGTACCTCTGAAAGTGTTCTCTGACCCGTACATGTAGATACTTTCACCGATTACTACAGTTTTGCCTGTGCTTTTTTAATTCTGTCCTCTAAGTTTGCATGCAGATTGTCTCCATTCATGCTCAAGCATTAAATTGGCTGCTTTAACAACAACAACCTGTACAAACAAGTTCAACATCAAAAGGAAAGGAGAAGGTCACTGGCATTTTCTGTACATGGAAATAGCTTTCTTCACATTAATCCTTTAGAAGCAGAAGCTGCTCAGGGTGATAAAACTTTTCATGCAACTGAAACCTTTAACTGACAGAAATGGGAAGATCCTCAGTTGTGGTTAGGACTTTGAAGTGCTGAAGGAGTTTCATTACTGAACAGAGCTCAGTGTTGTGAATGCTTAGTTCTTCAGACTTGAACTGTGATAGAGCCAGTATATGAAGCTTTAACACCTGATCGAAATAAGAAGTATCATCTGCACACACGCAGTGCGTCTGGAGTGCCATGCATGGACATTATTCAGCCATTGGGCGTCCTGTGTAATGTAAACCATTGGGGGGTTTGGGCTGCCTTGTGTAACTTATTCATAAAGAACATGACAAGAGCCTTCATAAGCGATCGGGGGGGGGTTACTGGGTTACAGCCTTGCATGTTGGGGGGGGTTGCAGTATCCCAGAGGTTTCACTGCTGATGTAACCTCCAGCCATGAAATGCTGAGTTTTTCCTCAGGGCTTCTCAGTGCACTTAGTAGCAATGCAAACACCTCTCTGGGGTCCCTCCCCACCCACTGCTCAGGAGCCTGTTCCTGTAGCTGCCTCTACCAGACGGGCTCTTACAGTAACACTAATAGTCATCATGCAGAAGTCATGGAAATTGCTCAGGAAAAGATGTATGTGTACGAACAGCTGGTGTGAATAGGAGGTGATTTGCATGTGTTGTAACAGTTCTCCCTCTTTAAGGCCATGGTCACACTGAGAATGACAGACCCAGCTATGCATCACGATAAATACACCAGCTGCTCAGGTTCAAGTGGTCACACCACAGCAATCTGTACCAGCAGGATGGTCTCAGATGATAGCGATAGCTGTGTACTTGTGTGTGTGTGTATATATATACACAAACACACCCATGCGTATAGTGTGCCAGTGATTAACGGTCTAAATGAACAGTGCTTTAAAAAAACATGATTCAGGGGTTGAGAAAGAGATGGAGTTCCTGAAAGGGGTTTATTGACAAGTGCATTGAATTAAAAATGGTCTGTGGTGTGGCCTCTAGCAGATGGAAGATTACCATGTTAGCATATGGTTATTGCTATTATCTTCCTTTCATATGACCGGGAAGAGAGATGGTCAGCAGTCAGGATTTTGGCCGACGGGCTTCTGCTTCAACTGTGAAACGGCTTTCTGTGTGAAAAATGTAGCAGGATTTCCTGTTACACAGAAGCCATTTAACCGCTAAAGTAAATTATGATGCTTTTTCTATATACTGGGACTGTGTTGTAAAGATTAAGCCAGGGTGTGGGCACTGCTTGAAGTGAACAGGCACGCATCTATGGAACCCTGTTTATGATGAAAGATGTTAAATAAGGGTAAAACTCTTCTCCATCACCACAAAGCTAAATCTGTGCCATCTTTCCTGTTTCAAATGGTTGGCTACTACTCATGCTAGTTATTTTGAAGTTAGTAACGTGTAACAAATAAAATTCAGTGATCAATCATGAAATTGTTTCATGTGGATGATTGAAAAATTTGTGTCTGCAATGGCTCAGGGCACATGGTATGTGTTTTGGTGAATGGAGAAGGGTTTTTACATCAGAATATTCAGAAACATGTTTTCTTGTTCTGATTCTTCATAATTTCAGTCTTTTTGCTTTTCATATTGACCTGCCTTATTTCTTGTCCATTCATTTAACACTTGTCAGTAGATGTCTGAACAGTGCTCATTTGATGTGTTTTTTTTATCCAGTGTTCAATGTTTCTCTCTCTTCTTTGGTTTTGTTTTGGTTTTGTTGTTTGCTGGTAACCATATCTCTCTTCCCCGTCCTTGTTTTCTTTCCTAACCTGGTTTCTCCCAGTCCAACTGCAGATCGAAGACCTGAGTCGCAAGCTTCGCACTGGAGACCTGGAAATCCCTGTAAACCCAGAGGAAAGGTCGGGAAATCCTTTTAACCCACCAACAGTAACGTTTTCTTTACCTAAATCAGAAACGTGTTTGGCTTCTGGGCATCAGTATGCTAGCACTAGATGAGGAACGGGGAGCTTGCTACAGCACACACATTGACTTGATGCTCCCATTGATTGAGGTGGACAACTACAGTTTTTCCCCTGGTGTTTCACCTGCTTGGCTTTCAAGCCAAACATTCCTAGGCATGTGTGCTTTTTGCAAAGGTGCATTGGCACAGGAATGGGATTCATGTGTGAATAGGTGATCCCTTTGAAGGCTGTGGCTTAATTGCTCCCTCTCTTGGGGAACCCAGCTCCCTGAAGGACAGATCTTCATTCAGTCATTCAGTGCTGCTTCCTGATCCTCGGAAACCTGTTTTTTTTTTTTTTTTTTTTTTTTTGTTCCACGTGAGCACTTCCATGCTCCTTTGAAGCTACAGTTTACAGCGATAACGGGGGAAATTGCCTCCCATTTTCTGAGATAATTTAAGCTGCTGATATATACTGTACTTAAGCCCCCTCATTTTCGGTTTAAACTGGCTTTCTTCCTCGGTGGCTTGTCACTTTCTAGCTACCTCTGAGATAGCTACTTTAGCTAGCTAGCATACGAATTTCATTAAGTAATTCTGCTAAAATTGTCACTGGTTAGCATAGCAGGGATTTGTTACCATTTTATCAGCTGGTATGTAGACAAGCATAAAGACCATGAGCCAGTTAGTTGTGGGAGCTTGGATTGGGTATAAAAACACTGCCCTCTTTTGGACAGGGGTAAGACTCTGGCTGGCACAGTCAAACTCAGATTAGAGTAAACTAGACTAAACTCAGATTTCCTCCTTGATCTCTGCCTCTTGATTTTAACTATTTTTCTCCCTGTTTACATCTAAAAATGTGGAGTGATATAACCAGAAAATGTCGGGGCTTGACTGTATGTCAAAATAGAGGCAAAACTGCAACTTTGTGTGACATCGCTGATAATAGATATTATGATACAGCAGCTCATCGTTTTAGTCAGGTTAGCTTATTTAACACTAACTTTTAATCTCATAATTTACATTCCACATTTTATTCAATTTAAATACAATTCAAGTCAGATAAAGTAAGTTCTTATGACTTGTTCTTGGTGGAAGCTTGAAGGTGTTTTGCAGTTGAAATTCTGGCTTAAAACCCCCCAAACAGTACGAATTTTGAAAACATGGAATCTGAATATTTAATTACAGCTAATATGTAACTCATGATGATACAAATTTAAAAATTCCATATTTGTTCCATGATAGTAATCAAAGTTTGCCTGTAATGCACAGCACCTTCAAGGTCTTATAAAAATTGGAAATGGATTCTGTCTGGTAAGTAGGTGTTTATCGGTGAACTTTTCTGAAGTAAAGCATTAAGCTGTTATAACCATAACCATCAGTTCTCACCCTGTGGTTTGTGTAAATGCCATTATTCATGGGAAGAATAATGCTGAACAATGGTAGCTGTTTTAGGCACGTAATTCAGCAAATTAGACTGCATGTTCTGGAAGAGTGTTTGACCCCCCCGTTTTTCTTGACTGTGTTTTTTTTAACCGAACTCAAGGAGAACCATCAGTTTCCCAGCAGGTTTTCTTCCCCCCCTCTCCCAATTCAAACCAAGTCTAATCTTTAACTTTGAAACTTGACTTCTTTTACACTCATTATTGCTTTGGTGGTGATTTTTTTTTTATCATCAT